CTTGTGTCTGTGGCACATAACTATATAAACCCTGTTGTAAGTCTAAATAAAGGAGGATGACCATACCCATATTGGGATCTATCTTTACTCCGGATTCGCGACTCCCGCTCCGCCGCCGGCAAAGATCCGGGAAAACTCCGACAGACCTGGCTCATTTACTTGGGAAATTAGGAAGATTTGGCACTGGAAAAATCTAGAAGTAATTTTTTAATTTATTTTGTAATCATAGTTCTCCCATCCTTCTTGACTACTGCTAGAAGCAGAATGAGTGATCTCTGTAGTCTCAGTTATATATGCTAATACTAATAAGAAATCGTGATACCACTTGTTTGCTATCAAATACAGAACGACAAATACCATCTAGCATCCAGTGCCAAAGTAACACATTACATCTCAGATTTTGGTGCCCATGGAATCCAGGATCACGCTCCCATTTCATCTGTTTAGTTTATCTCCCTGGAAGTTACCTTAGAAATCATAGAGTAACTTCTGCATCTACCATGAATTTACTCTGATATTTTAAGAGGTAAATTTTGTGTCTTTTTATTGTTGATACAGCATAGGTGTTACAGCATCCAAGGATACTTGACCACTTTCCTAAAAAACAATTTGAAATAGCCAGTGTTTTGTATAAAAATATATAGCAAATTTGAAACAGGGCATTTCTGTACAAAGAGATGGAAATAATTTCTTCACAGTGTTTCAGTGCAGGCACGGGCTGTTATTGTGTGAATGTTGTTTAAATAACAAAATAAGCTTCATGTACCTATTGTTTGCTCAGAGTATCAAGTCCCTGAAGACTTTTATCCTTTCACTGCACAATTTGTCATTCCATAAAATCCTGGCAGTTTGATTGAAAATATAGACTTCTTCCTGTAATAAACAGTTCCTTTAGTTTATTTGAGAAACCATTGTCTGGTGATCCTGAAGTTGCTAGTCCTAATCCCATTAAAGAAAACCAAGTATTTTTAGAATTTTACAGGGAACACATAACAGTTGCGACGCTGCCTTTGATCTATAAGTGGCAGTATTTATTTGTTGGAGCTGGTAGCATTTGTAGCATGAATGTCTGATGTTTGTGGAGTCCTATGTGTCACATTGCTTCGTTTCCAACTACGCTGTATGTAAATCAGCTACAGCTTCATGCCAGTGAGAAGCACAATTTGCAGAATAATTGCTGGCATTTTGCAGTGATTCCATTTTTTACGTTACAGCTTAGTTAATACACATGTGAGAGAGAGTTTTTCATAAACAAAAATCCCACAAATATTCGGTAGTCACTCTGATGATTTTTGGTCTTTTTGTCTGTCTCCGTGTTTAGAAATGCCTTTCCATCAGTTTATTATTAATTCAGTTAATGACTGTGTAGCAGGTGGAATACATTGTTGAAATACCATTGCACATATGGTTTGACCTACCTACATCCTCCAATTTTGGCTAAGCTACAGTATCTGGATCTAACCCTCCCAAGTCTTATGGAAGGGCTTGGAATATGAGCCCCAATCTGTTCTTCAGCTGCTGTCTCACCAAGTGTTTACTGACCACAACTTTAGCTCAAGTTATAATGCAAGGTTTGTGTTTAATTTGGATTATGTTTGTATACAGAAGATCTCAGAGGTGGCAATCCTTTTCGCTTGAGCTGGCTGGGTCATTGAGAGTCGTAGGTGACAGCTGCCAAGTGCTCTCCCATTGTCTAGCACTTGTATTTTTTCAGCATTTTGCTTTGCCACCCTATCTGGGCACCTGAAGGAGCAGCGTTAGAGACTCCACAGGCGTTCTGCACTGAAGACATAGCTTTGAGTGGTCCAAATAAAATCTCCAAGACTGGTACTTCTATGAACCTTTTGAAAATGAGGGTGTGAAATTGTGCATATATTACCTGCCTAGATACTTTTAGATCGCATCACCCCCTAGTGAGTTATAGGGGTCATTTTATTGGAGAACTGTTGAGCCCCATACAGCCCCACAGAGTCTGCCTTGTACTACTAACCATCCTGTTGGATGTCTGCCTCTGACGTGTATTCACTGTAACTGTACTCACCATAAACTGAAAGAGGACCATTGCATAGTATGTGTTAAAGTATTTCTGTACTAAATGCCATTAATTTAAATGCCTCTGCTTTGTAGTCAACTATTGCAGCCTTCCAGAGCTACATGTTGGATACCAGTGAGACCTTTCCAAAAGAATAGAACTTCCCTTTCTAATTTGGCAGGTCATAGTACTATGGGCTATGACACTCAGAGCTAGGAAGGGTGTTACGTTTGAAGACTGAGAGCTGCCCTTTTTGAACCACGATGAGTATGCTAAATTTGCTGCTTGAGAGATTATTTTCAGAAACATACAAGAAACACAACCATTAACTAAATTGCCTGAGTAAGAAAAAAAACATGCTGAAAGACTCTAGGATATCAGCCTGGATTTTAAACATCTTAAGGGTTACACTGGTATTTTTTCTCAAAAAATCCACGTGCACTCTAGTCAAAACAAAACCTTTACTGTGTTTCCTTTCCTTGGTTCAGCCTCAGCAGGGGATTTAATCTCTATGTTGCTTCCTAAAATTGCATAATGTAGTTTGATCTCCTTACTTAATAGCATCTCACTCGGTCCTTTCACAGTCACGATATTATCAGAAAGGTATATATGTTAATCTTTCTGATAATACGCATTTATCTGATATAGATAGATTTGATACGTGTGTGTGTGTGTGTATATATGCAGGAAATATCAGCTAAAGTCTGTAGCCAACCATTCCATTCCACGATATCAGAGATGTTGAGTACTATATCCCTGAAATATAGTAAGATGCCTATATCAACGGTTGGTGTCTGAGATTGCCAGACTTGTTTGCTACAACACATTCCTTGAAGACACAAAGTCTTTTCGGAGAGGTCTGAATGCAGAAGGTTCTTCTCTGGAAGAGTTTTTCGAGTGTATCCTGCTTATCATTGGGTTAATTAACAGCATAAACTAATTACAGTGCTCTATTTTCAGACTTCACTGCATTGAACGTTTCTCACTACATAGAATCATAGAATTGTTTAGGTTACCTTTAGGATCATGAAGTCCAACTGTTTAACTACCGCCCTGAGAGATGAGAATTGACATAGTAATATAGGTCCTCAGCTCCTTGCCGTGAGGAATTTTTGACATTCACGGCAACGTTGCTCAGATACAACAACCCAGACCCTTGCCTACATGTTTCATTATGGGCATTCTCAAATGATCTCTGTACTACGCATGTAGGAAGACTGTGATGGAGATGTACTTCATCCATAAGTACATGTAGGAAAAATAAGGTATGGACCAGTGTTCTGGAGGGAGATGTTTGGTATCAGAAGTCAGTTATTCACTGGGTGTTGCTTATCCATGTAGGATCATGGGTCCAACTGCCTCCCACAGTATTTTCTACACCCTAAAAGCAGCTCAACAATGGAGTTTCTGAGGTATTTTCGCGTTATAGTCCTGGTGTTAATCGTTCAAAAATCAGTGCTGTGGTAGTGTGGAAAAATGTCTTTCAAAACCCTTCTTTCCTATCAGCCACCTTGAAGCTAAATTTCCTCTGTTTCTGCCCCTGGTTTGTGTGGGATACCTCAGGATTTACTCAAAATACCCATATTTTTAAAGGAACATGGATTATTTGAGGTGCAAATTGTAAAGCTGCAGTATTCCGAAAGGTGTTGGTTTTGTTATAATGTGTTACAGGAAAATTGCAATACAGAACAGGAAAACAATTTCCTGCTCGTACTGAATGTGTAATTATGCAGCCATTGTTACTCAGTAAGTTACTCTCCAAGCTTAGGTCAAGTAGCAGTTTTATTTAAAGAATGAAAAGTAGCATGATTTCATATAATGTAATATTCATGTAATATATTATGTGTTATATTCATTAATATTGTACAACATGTATAATGTATAATAGCATATACATATGATATATTTTCAAAATAATATAACACAAAATTTAAACACATTAGAAGGAATTGATTAAATTTTGTATGCAAATACATGAATCCAAGAACAATCAATGTATTTGTGCTATGTGTGCTACTCAACTGCAGAGGGCTGCAGAGTTGACCTTGAGGTAGAAAGCTCTTTTCTATAAATGCTCCTCCTCCTCCCCTTCCTCCTCCTCTTGTCACTCATAATGCCTGAATAAAATTAGCATTTTAACTCTTGCCTGTGTTTGTGTAATGAATGTGATCTTTAAAACTCTTCCTTTCAGAAGACGGTATATGTGTCTTGATAACAGTTAGTGTAAATGGGTGGAAAGAGGAGCCTAGAAATGTTCTGATTTTGTTGGAAAGAGTAAGTTTAAGATTTTCTTCTATTTTTGTAAGTTCTCAGGTGACTGTTCCAGCAAATATCTCTCCCGTAGTTTTAAATGTATAACTTCCCT